ATTGTGATTTCTCGCGAGTAGATCTCTCTCTCGACAGGGTGTCTTCGACGATAAAAACGACCTGAATTCTGGCGATCCTTCGATCGACAACTCATTATTTTATAACCTCGACGTAGGTACTCGCTCGAAACGGAAAAAAAGAGTAGGAATACGAGTCGTACACGAGTTGGAAAAGTCGATCGCCTGTATAATGATACGATTACATAAATTATCAATGCGTTAGAATTGAAGAAATGTTGATACGAAGTTTGTTGCTGCGAAGTATATGAAAATTTATTAACCGAATAATGTAATATGTATGGGTTCGTGTAGATGGAAATTTTAGAATGGGTTTTTTTTTCTAAATATAACTAAAAAAAATATATTTTATTATATATTTACGCATTTTTACGTAAATGGATATAATACAATGATAAGCAAGATGAAAAGTTAAAAGTAAGATTATCAAAGTTTATTATAGTTTAGAAACGATTTCTTCAATATGTTACCGACGTTCTTAATATATAATTATTCTTTAACAACGTATCAATTTAATAAGTATTATGTTTCTCTTGATTATAGCATGATAAATTACCAGAATTACGTCGACGAAGATAATAAAAACATCACGTAATAAAATACTATCAAGAGAGTATTTATCAAATTATTACACAATTTAAAATTTCAATAAAATATTTTAACATATTTGAAATAGCTAAATCAGTCGATAAGTTAAATTACGATAATTCGTACCTTACCAATTTTTTGGATTAATTAATCTATTTAATTTGTAAATATTTTTTACGTAATATAAAAATTTTAATCCGATGAAGTAAAATCCTATAAAAAGAATGGACACCTCATTATTTGATCACCGAACGCGCCCATATTTCGCACGTGTGACACGTAACGAAAGCGACGCGACAGTGCCACTCTTGTCTTCCATTTGCAGCACATTCGAAACGAGAAATCTGGTTACTTTATAAACTCGTTACGTATTGGCTGAGACAAGTGCGAGTCGACGCTTGGTTAAGCAACATCGAGGGTAATTCGCCGATATGTTTTCCCAAACCGGACGATCTTCGTATAAACTCTTATTTTAAGCTATATCATTCTCGTTTCGTACGGTTTTTAGCACGTAACCTGTATTTTAAATCAATTAGGATGCTTAAAGTAACAGCCCTGATACATAATCGAGAAGTTTCGTTCGATCCTTGAATGGTATGTGAAATATTCTTTCCAATCGTAAAAATTACCGTCGCTTTTGGCAGTTGATCACTTAACCTAACCTATATTTATCGCGGCTTAGAACTAACGTTAGACTGGTAAGTGTAAAACTAATAAGATTTCTGGAACTAAGAATAACATTAGGCTTAACCTTAAGTCTGTAGTTCTGCGTATCTAAGGAAATTTAATTATCACGAATAATCTTATTTGATGATTTCTATGAAAATTATTATCCGATTATATATATAAATGTTCAATTCATATTATATATTCATATATATATATTAACTGCATATTCTATTAATTTCTAATATGATATTCAAATACGGTTTACTTATTAAAATATTTCCTTGTTTACAATGAGGGAATATTATAATTAATAGACTAATGATATTAATATAATAACCTATAATAATTACTTTATGATGAAATATTATAATTACATTGATATATAATATAGATATTATTATGAATTTAATAACAGTTTTCTCATATTGAATTTGTTTTTAATATATAATATACGATATTAGATCAATCAGTTAATCTTATATTAATTATATCATGATACTTCTAGTAACGTTTCAATCTTCGTTTATTAATTATTAAATAGCAATTAATGTTAAAAATAGCCGATTATAATAATGCCAATTATAAAACGATAGAAATTAATTACATTAACGACACACAATACAATAATCAACAGCAATCATTTCATTTCCAACTATAGTTATTGAAAAACAAAATAAAAATCCTTTAATCTATCTTTATCTACCATCGAAATATCGATTCATTCGAGTAACTTTTATTCGCTTTTATTTCACGACTCGAAGAAAATAAATTCATTTAACGGACAAGAGACTCGAGCGCAAGCTCGATAATAAATTTATCAGTGGTTCTCGGTGAAAGGACGAGTAGCTTTAATTCCGAGGAAAATTGAACATTGACCGTGTCTCGTTATACCACTCGATATCTCGCGAGTAAAAAGAGGGTAAAGCGAGATAAAATAGAGAAGGAAATGACAAAAGTAACACTCGGATTGATGTAATTACCGGGCGTGGCGGGGGTTAATTTGCATTTCGATGCAATTACGATTCATAATCCCGTTTTCGTCGATGTCTGTGAAACTCATCGGGGCGTTATTGTTATAAACGGCGCGCGTTTCCGACTCGTCGTGTCTCGCGTATCGAATGTTAATTCGACGACGCGCATTCCGGGGCCGTCCATGTCTTTTATCGTTGTTTTATGACGTTGGTGGACGTAAGCGCGACGCAACCGGCGTCGTTTTCCTTTTCGTTTTAATTGAATTATTCAGGATCGATCGGCCGCCGAAGGATTACCCCCCCTAGAGATGATTACATTCTCCGTTATTACTCGGTAGAACATTTATCGCGCGAAATGAAAACTGCTCAATACTTTATATATTTAATTTTTATTTAGAAATATATATATATATATATATATACACATATATGAGAGAAAATTAATTTTTTAGAAAAATTATTTATTTGAGAACGAATTAGTATTATTATTCGATATAAGTAAAAATCATGGAATAAATTGAAATAACAGTCTGTTTTATTACGATTTAATTTTATTACGATCTTAAAGTTTGTTTCTATTTAATTATTAATTTGTTACGTGATATTTTACATCGTGTGTACAGATATATAGTTCAACTTGGTGAAACCATGCAAACAAAAAAAAAAAAAAAAGAAAGAAGTGACATTTAGTAAATACATTTATATTCGATCAATTTCACTCGACGTTACGTAATTCCCAACTTGTATGAATTTTATACGAGAATCGATAAAATTCTCGAATAAATGAAAAAGATTAGAATCGAGTATTATTTTTAATAATACGTCCATTCGATTGTTAGCTTTTACAGTTATTACGTTTGCTACAATTGTAAAAAATGAAAATGTGTCATTTGAAATTTTAATGAATATATGCAAAAGTGTCATTGCTATATGTAAATTTCAGGTCAACGTTTTGAATTTCTTTTCTTTATATAATAAGAAACGTTGAGAACAATTATATTGTTCACGCGTCAATTAAATTTTCAAACTATTCGTTGCTTCTATAAGGATACATAAATAACGTGAAAAAAATTGATTGAATAATTCCTTAATCTTGAAATTAAATCTCTCAATTTTTTTCCTCTTTATTCGTCGATAATTTGCATCGATAATTTTGCGGTTCGCAAAACAATCTATCGTGCTCCACACACGCACGATGCTCGGCGGCCATGATAGTAGAATCTGTTATAGTAGAATTCGTTCAGGGTCGATGGAAAAAAATGTGCTTACACACTTGCAGTCACGCTTCGCTGTACGCTCGACATTTTGTACACGCGACGTGACTATTTGTTGCCAGGATTCGCCTCGAGATTATACTTTACTCGAGTTGTTTCGTCCGCCAGTTTTGTCTCTCGTGTGTAATGCGTAGAAGTTATGTGTTGGCTGCGTATTACATTGCGAAACAGTATATTACACTATACATTAAGAGCCACGAGGCGGATGTTTTGCTGTAGCTCTTAAACAGCTGCTAAATTTGTATCACTTTTTTTTTGCTCGAAAAAAAAATAGATACATTTTATGAAAAATTTATGAAAATTTTTCTTTTCGTTGAACGATTTAAAAAAGTGTTCTGAAATTATTAAATATCTTTAAACGATGGTTTTGTTTTACATAATATTTTATAACGAGGACGAATATCAAAATATTAATTAATATCAAAATGTTATTTTATAAATTTTATTTCTGAATGCTAATGGGATAGATAAATTTATAATAGATAATTTATAATAGATAAATCTTTAAACGATAGTTTTACATAATATTTTATAACGACAACGAATATCAAAATATTAATTAATATCAAAATGTTATTTTATTTCTGAATGCTAATGGGATAGATAAATTTATAATAGATAATAATTAGTTTATAATAGATAATTTATAATAAATAAATCTTTTAACAATAGTTTTGTTTTACATAATATTTTATATATATATATATTATAATATTTTATAATAGAAAACGAATATCAAAATATCAATTAGTATCAGCATGTTATTTTATTTCTGAATGCTATGCTAATAGGATAGATAAATTTTTTCTGACATGTAGAACCACATTATTAATGATCTATCTATAACTCAAGTCCGCTTTTTTATGGTATTTAATATTCCTTTCACTTATCTTCAAATCAAACATCTACATCAAAGTATGAAGTATATCTTGTTGCACATAAACTAGACAAGGTGATAAAATATTCTTAATTCATTATAATATTTATTTCTGTAAAAAAAAAAAATTTCAAATAAAGTTGTAGACTAAAAAAAAAAAAAGTAAACTAGATGTAAACTAGATCAAACACTATAAGAAAAGAACTGTTACTTTTTTTTTTATTTTTTTTTTTTTTAATATATTGTCGACCTTCGGTTCACTCAATGATTTATGCATCGAGATATCGCTCATTCCTTTTTAACTTCATTTAAAATCAGACAGGCCAATTACTCCATATTCATCGGCAAAAATATTTTTTTTTTTTCTTTTTCTCTAATATTTTTTACTTGCAGAAAATAAGATTAATCGCAATACTGTAATTGACTACAATTTTCGCAATATTAGATCAATTAAAACGGTATTTTCACTTGGCCTGGTAACTTGGTAAACACTCTTGGTAAAGTAAAAATCACGGTCATCGCCTACGCGCCTCTCGAATATCCATGCAAGAATTCATTGTAAAAAAAATAAGTAATCGTACGATCTTGTTTCTTGGTTTACAGCCAGAAGAGGCAGCAACAACACCACCAACAGCACCAGCAACAACAGAATCAACACAGCCAGCAGCAGCAACAGCAGCAGCAACAACAACAACAACAACAACAACAACAACACAAACAAAATCATCATCATCAACAACAACAACAACAACATCAGCATCAACATCAACATCAACAACAGCATCAACACCAGCACCAACACCAACACGCCTCCTGGCACAGGACCACCTTGGCGTCCTGACCACAGTGACCTTGACCCTGACCACAGGTCGAGTAGTCCTGATAAAAGAGAGGAGAGAGCATTCTTCCCGCTGTTGGCCGAAACGCGATCGATCGTCGCGACCTCTTCTTTCGCGGTTCGATATTCGAGAGAAGAAGAAGAAGAAGAATAAGGAGGAGGAGGAAAAGAAGAAGGGAAGGAGGAATCAATCAAAACCGCCGTCAAATACCAAAAGAATGCTCCACACGACCGGTGTTCCTACAAACTTTGAACATTCTCTTCGTCGACCTATTCACCGCGATACTCTTCGTCGAAAGACCTTCTCTTTGATCATCGTCGCTGCACAAATTTCCCGTGTTCCACGATAGTGAGCCGCCATTGCTGTGCTCATCGTGATTTCCTCTCCATAGAGAACTCTCTCTCTCTCTCTCTCTCTCTTTTCCTCTCTGTCTATTCCATTTTCTCTCCGTTTCTCTCTAAGCGAGTCCGTTTGTAGAAGACTCCGCTTTTGCGTAGGTACGATCGTATCTTCATTCGTGTTTTTTCGATTCTTTCTCCCTCTCGCGGTCTTTTCTTTCATTCGCGAAAAAAAAAAAAAAAAAAAAAAAAAAAAGAAAAAAGAAAAGCATTCAACGCTTCGCCTCGATTTGACTTCGACCGACATATCCCGGATATCGTATGATTATTCTACGCTGCGTAGAAACTAACAGAGAGACTCGTTTCAACAGGATTTTTCCATTCATCGTGAATTTTTATCGCTTCGCTTGAAACGATTTGTTTGGTGTAGAGATACATATGTTATTTTCCTTTTTTAGAATTTGCATTTGGAGCTGCGTTGATTTTTTTTTTTTTTTTTTTTTGATTCGTTCGAGTCAAAAAGCTCCCCTTTTCATCGATTTATCCCTCGATCTTGGATTGTTTAATCGTACTTTGCGAGAGTTAACAATTATTAAACAGTGTGCAATTAGCGAACGCCGTGACGAAAATATATAAATACCATATCACAGATATATATTTGAGATATCGTTGGATCTTTCATCGAATCGATGAAAGTTTATTTTCTCTTTTCTTTTCTCTTTTTTTTTTTTTTTTTTTCTTTGAAGAACAAAATATTATCGCATCGAATTGGAAGAAACTCGAAGACTCACGTTCTTTGTCCTCGTGAGACAGCGAGTGTAATAGTGACTCATTCGTTCCTTCTAGAAGAAATAGATCGATCCAAGTTGTAGCGAGTAGCGAAGAAAAAGAAAAGAAAAAGGTATTTAACCGCTAAACGATAGGGCGTTAAGATCGTAATAGAGATAGAAGCGCGCGGAGCAGAATGTAAATAAAAGTTCGCGTGTTTATCGTGATGTGTAAGAAGTAAGTGCAATGTATCATAAGTGAATGTAATTTCATAGAATTTTGATGGAAACTGTACAATACGTATCTGTAGGCGAAGAACTCGCATAAAGATGCGCGTTGTCTTTGAGCGAGCACAGTGAGATCGTTGTTTCCGTTTCGAACAAATTTCGCATACGTTCGCCATCATCCTTCCACTCGTGCGATTTAAAATATTACATTGACTATTACATGTCAAAAAATTCCTTCGTTTCATTTTTACATATTATTATTAATTCTCTAGTTAATTCAATTTATCGACACCAACGTAACGAATACGTTCACGATTTCGAAGCGTTAAATAATATCGATTTCAATATATAATCGTTGCTTAATGTGGAAACATCAGAATTGAAATCAATTGTGTATTATTTGTACAAACGAGAATCGTTTAAACCCTCTACGATAATTTGTTGGGAAAAAAAAAATGATAGTTCCAGTGATTCAACAATTATCGTTATCAATCAAATTAGACGATTCTCGTCGATTGCGTTACAACAATTTAAAAATTACTTAATTCAAAGTTGATTGTAAGCTTCTTCTTCTATATTTTATTTCGTTCTTTTTCCACGAATAATCGATAATTTCAATATTGTTGTTGTACCCGAGTATTGTTATTAATTAATTATTTCTCACTATAAATAACTATTTTCTCGAGCAATGTAGCCGAGTGATAATGAATAACGCATTATAAGCGGCGCAACGTGCAATAGTTTTTAATTCGATCATTTCACATGAATCGTCACGGCGATCGTGAACCCTTCTCACGATCCTTGCAGCGGAGACAATTAATGCGATACGTACGATCGTTTATACATTCTGTATCCATGTCGAGTTTACATGCGATATCTCGATTACGTTAATGTCTATGGAAATTAACACATTGAGAATTTAATTTTAACACGATAAGAGAAAATAATAATAATAATAATAATAATAATAATCTCGGCCAATGTCGATAAGAGTTAAAAAAAGTTTGTCGTTAAAAAAAAAGAAAAAAAAAGATTTATTTAAAATTGAATGATTTAAACTTGAATGAGAGACGGAAATTCCTTTTTCCTCAAGTATCTTAAGCGCTTAAAAAAAAATCAATAAAGCCAATGCTTTCGTATCGCTGCTCACGAAGAACTTAATATAGCTATGACTAATTAGGTCAAATCAATTTTTTTATAATCTACATCCGTTAACGTTTTAAATTGTCCCATGAACTAGTTTGTCACGATAATATTCCTCGTGATAATATATTATAATTTATTAAATATCAAATTATCAATCAGTCAGGAGAAGTATAAAGATGAGTGAAAAGAGAAGGAAAATTGTATCGAATATTTTTTATTTATTAAGATGCAATCAGTTTTTTTTTTTTTTTCAAATTAAACGAGAGAATTCTCGTCGTGATAAATATCGTGTCATTTCTATCCTCTGTTGAATCATCTCAAGTGCAAAGTATTTTGTTCATGAAAGGACTTCTTCGAATTATCGATTATCTGAAAATTTATTTGCTTTACTTTCGCGTGTAAACTCGATAAATCGGATTACAGTTGTGAATCGTTACCTTATGCGATCACGATTAAGTATCGAAAGAACGGGGAAAAAAAAAAAAAAAAGAAAGAAGGAAATGTGAGTAAATGCGCGTCTGAAATGACGAAAACAGGTGCTATTCGATAAGTTAAAAAATAAAAAAAAAGAAGAAGAAGAAGAACGATAAAGTATTTCGATGAAGAAAAGAAAAGGCAAAGGAAGAGGCGAGATATTATAGATAGATCTTTTTAGGTAGAGAAAATATTTTGCATAATGTACACGCAATTGTATCAAAATATCCACGATCCGAGTGTACCTATGCATTCATGAAAAAAAAAAGAAACGCCCCCCTTGAAATATTCCTCGGTATTTGTCGTTTGTCGCATTGCGAGGTTGATTAAAAAAAGAAATATTTGTATATTTTACTTATTGCGACGAAAATATTCGTATTGATTAACGATTGAAGGGAATTTTTTCCAAAAAGGATGTATAGATGATCGAATTTACGATATAAAAATTATCCTCGAGAGAAATAGTCAATAGTTAGAATTTGAAGATAATTCTATGGTTTGAAGTATTGTATAAACGTTTTAAACGGGCCATGTATATTTATAGCGAAAATCGATCGCTACGTCACTTCCACTTTGCCTTGAATCTGACAAAGTGTACGTACGTATAATAAAATTATTCAGATCCTTAGTTTTAACTCGAAGAAGAAGAATTATATTGTATCGTGTATATAAATCCGTTTTTAATTAAATTTTATTTGGTTCGTGAGAATGATTTAAAAAAAAAACATATATATATATACATAATATATATATTGATTAAAAATGCGTGAATAGAACATCAATTGTAAAGAAACTCGCAAATGCGTGGAAGCCGGCAAATACCGAGAAAGACGTTGTCAAAGAGAATTCGATTAACTCGGCTGCGACTGGAATAAGAAAAGGAAAAAAGAAAAAAAAAAAGAAAAAAAAAAAAAAAAGAAACCCGACATCGATACGGGACGAGGTTTTCAATAAACGGAATTGTATACTATTAAATGCGCGTATCTCCAAAATAGATGATGCAATTCGATGTCCGATTATATGTTCCCGATTTGCAGTTAACAGGTTGCCGTATATCATTCTGTTTTCCTAACGAATCATACTTTCCATGATTTATGGATGAAGGAAACGTTCTGTATCACGCAAAGTCAAACGAGCGCGTTAAATAATTCAACAACGTTCCATATATGCTACATTCTTAACGAGTGTATGAAGAAACGTAGTGGTGCTCGATAGAAATGAGCAAATATATATATATATATTATATCTGCTCTTCTGGTAAAACATCGTTTCGTCGAAACGATTCGGAATAATGTAATATATTTTTTTATCGATTATCGATAAGAAGTTTACAAAGGTAAAAATTCTGTTCAAAAATTTCATCTTGAATTGTAATAGATGTGATTAATTTAATTATCGGTTAAATATGTTTTAAATAACGAATTTATAAAAAATGTTTGAATATTTGAATATTTGAATTTTTTTTTTTCTGGAAAATAGAAAGTAGAGGTAGAAAATATATATTTTAATTTTTAAACGAGAATTGAAGATACTTTTTACAATAATAACGGAGAGAACGTATATTTTTAATTATGAAACGAAAACTATTTTCTCTTTAATATTGCTAAAGAATATTGTTACTTTCTATAAAGGTAACTTTTTCTAGCAGAAATTTAAAAAGAAAAGAAAAATAAGAAAATAATGTTATTTTCTAATGTAGCAACAAACTATTAAAAAAATATTTTTTAAGATATGCAGAAAAAGATATCCTTATTCTATATCATGGAAACGATCTTGAATTATTTTTATTCAGACAATTATGATTAAGAAGCATTTAGATAGAGACTGAAAAGAGACTGCTCGACATCGTGTTCACTGCGATCGTGGTTCAAAATATTAACTATCATCTCCTACCCTCGATATCCACGTGGCACGTGGAATGTATAGATTTATACTTGTTTGTTTATTTATTGTTAGGTAGCAAACATGAAAAAAATGGCGAATAAAATGTTCGCGGTACAGAGAGAGGAGCCAACTTTTAGATCAACCTTGACTGTTTAGCCTTTAGAT